TTTTTTTTTTTTTTTTTTTTTTTTTTTTTTTTTTTTTTTTTTTTTTTTTTTTTACCAGTCCATTCCTGCAAAGAAGCCACCCTTTATAAACTTAGGGAAAATGACTGACTAGCCATTACCTAGCTGGTCACCTAAAAATGGGAAAAATAATGTGAAAAAAATATGAAATATTATTTATCAAAGGCTAAATCCTTTGCTAATTTAATCTGATGGTTCTCAAGAGGCTTAGTTGGAAATGTGTCTATTTATATATCAGCAAAGATTTTGGCATTACATTTCTGACTATAAAAACTGAGGGAGGTTGTTAGTTGAGTATTTTCATTGATATCTATTTAGAATTTCCCTTTTGGTACTTTGCAGTAATATTTGTGGGGGGTTTGTTTGGGATTTTTTGTTGTTGGGGTTTTTTTGGGTTTTGGGTTTGGGTTGGTTTTGGGTTTTTTTTTTGTGAATCAGGGAAAAGTCTTAAAATGACCACTGTAGCTGCCATTACAGAGGAGAAAGAGGCTAACGGGTAATAGTCATACAACAGTGTTTCTTTCAATGTACATTTCTGTTAGTTTTCTTTAGTGAAAATCTCCACAAACCTCCAAGTATTTTAACTAAAACCTAATCTGTCTTCAGTTCCACACATGCAAGCAGTTGAAATTTGTGGTTTACCTCTCTATTTAAGCATATACCTGTGTCTTCAGGACATATCACTGACTTTTAAACTGGCCAACCAATGGATTCAAAATTGCAGCATTGTCTTCCATGTGGCATGTCAGCATCTTGCACTGGGAAGTTTTATCCTCTGTAAAAAATATTAGTCAAATATAGTGAATGCTTTACATGCGTGAGCATGATTTATTCAGGTTTTTGAGCTTTGCTTTGAGTTGTGCTGTTGGTACCACTTGCCTTTAATGTACCTGGTGTTCATAGGCGGTGTACCTCTTCTCTATCTCTTACCTGGAGGGTTCTGCTGCCTGGACTTCTATGAAAAGGCAAAAATGTGGGAGGCCAGTGTATATCGGAGATATTCGTAAGGATTGGGGACAAATAGATGCTGAAATCTCAGATACCACCTAAGACAGCTGAAATGGCAAAAGAGGGAAGTAAATCACTTTTTTCTTCCTAAAGAGGAGGAGAGAAGAGTTTGAGTCTACTTGAAGACTATTTTGTCACAACTTTTTGATTTATTCTTTTGGGAGTACACTGTGCAAATTAACCGCAGTAAAAGTATTAGCTAGGTATTTCAGTTGCAGGTTAAAAAGAAAAAAAATCTTCCATCTCAGACTCTTTAGATTTAAAATTAACTGTTCACAGGGTTTTGTTTTTCCTTTGTACAGACAACATCAGCAAATCGGACCAAATATTATGTGTCTTACCGTCGAAATGGCTTTGTACAGATGAAGTTGCCAAAATATGCACTGCCAAAAGTAAGTATACACGTTTTTCTTTCTATTTATATATATTTGTCATCTTCTCTTCCTGCCTAAACTAGTTTTGTTCTCTTATTTTTTTTAAACCTCATTATTCTGAGATCACAATTTCTCCTTGCAAATATTTCTGAATCCCATTTGTGGTATATTCTTACCCTACTGTTTTTTATTCTAGGAATGTAGTATCTCATAAACCATAAAGAGCAAGAATGTACGATAGCTTATTTGTTAGTTTTTGAGCTTTCCTTCTGCAAAACAGTGCTTCACACCCAATGGCAATGTAATGATACTGATCAAGTCTTCTTTCAAGGATCAATTACAGTTTCATCCCACATGGTGCTTTCTGGTATAAGCATGAATCATAATATATGAGAATTTTACCAGCTGATGGTGCTTTATTTCATTAAAGAATCCCAATATGAACTTTAATTACTTTAAAAAATCGCAAGGCTTGTTGAGAGGTTCCTTCAGTCTAGCATATTTTTATATTGACAGGGTTTCTATATTTGCATAATAAATCAGCTATAAAGCACAGACAGATATTTACATGTTGTCTAACTGATGCAATTAAATTTTTGGGCTGCATACAGTGTATTTCCTAACTTTATAGTTAGAAGGCTTCTGCAGTCCTGAAGAAAAATTACTTAGAAGATTTAAAGACCCAGCTGGATAAAGCTATCAATAACCTGGTCTAGCCTCACAGCTCATCCTGCTCCCAGCAGCAGGTCGGTGTGGAGATCTGTTGAGGTTCCTGCCTTTTCATGTGATTCTGTCACTTATTAGCAGAGAACTGAGACATGTTACCTTTGCATGTGTTGAATTGCACAGGTTTAATTTGTTGCTCATCTGGTGAAGTACAGTGGAGTACAATGTATTCCACAGAATCATCTAGGTTGGAAAAGACTTTGAAGATCATCCAGTCCAACCATTAACCCAACATTAACAGTTCCCAACTACCTCAGATCCCTCAGCACTATGTCGAGCCAACTCTTAAACCCCTCCAGGGATGGGGACTCCACCACCTCCCTGGGCAGACCATTCAAACACTCAACAACCCGTTCTGGAAAGAAATACTTCCTAATATCTAGTCTAAACCTTCTCTGGCACAATTTGAGGCCTTTACCTCTTGTTCTACCACTTATTACTTGGTTAAAGAGACTCATCCCCAGTTCTCTGCAACCTCCTTTCAGGTAACTGTAGAGGGTGATTTGCCTTTGATTTTATTTTAATTATTTTCCTTTTAGTCTAAGTGGTGGTCTGAAGTCTTCTGGTTTTAAATGTACAACATATTAACAAAATCCTCAAATCAAAACCTCAGATAATGGTTGAACAAGAATCTAAAACTTGGATATGCTCCTACTTGCACCATAGAATACCTATGTATTTATCTATCAATCTATTTTGACAAAAAATGTATAGCCAAGGACAGGTAAACATATCAACACTTCCACAGAATTATTTCAGGTTTTTTAAGGCCTCCAAAGTAGCCTTTATGATTCCTGGGGGCATTTGTAATTAGGAAAACAGCAGAAGCATAGTCAGTTTTAAATGTTAAAACATGCCAAATGTGGACATCCCAAGGAACTGCAGGCCATGGATGGCCCACACCGGGCAGAAGAAAACAAGGAGCAAGGGAAGAAACAAAGAATAAGCAAGGATCAAGAAAGAAACACTTCCACAGATGACCCCAACATCCTGCACAGCCGCCTGCCTCACTGAAGGAGTTGAGAGGAACCAGATTAACACAAGCTGGAAACAAGGCAGTTGAGAGTAGGATGGGTGGAGAAGAGGTGTTTGATTAAGCTGAGCCTAGAGAATGGGGAGGAAGGATGTTTCCCTAAGTGTTCGTTTATACAGTTTTGTTTTGTTTTTTTTTCTCAATACTCATATCGGTAATTTGAAGTGTGTGTTAGCTGACAATAAATTAAATCAGGTAACATTCCCCAAGTTTTGCCCATGACAAATTTCCTGAAGTCAGCACATTAGTGCAAGTGTTGACTATGCTAACTTGTGTGGGAAAATGTTGTGTCTTGGGAAACAGAAGGGCAGAAATCTTATAAGGGAGACTAGGGCATTTCTTTCTTCAGCTTCTGGATAGCTTGTGCAGGAAGAATCTGTACCTTTCCATTGCAGTTTTCTTCTCACGCCCAGTAATCTGCTGCATTTGACCAAGTCAGCGCTGTTTGTCCTTCCTGATACTGCCATAATGTAGGAGATGACATACTAATTTAAGTTTTTAAGAGTTTTACAGAGTGTTATGTTTATAGATGGCAGTTAATATTTGATGTGTGGGTGATTGCTTCAAGCATTCAGGAAAGTTAATTATTTTTAACAAGTTGGATGTGTACTGTACCTCCTTAACATGTGCCTCTGATTTAAATATCAATATCACAGTACCCTGATTAATAAAGGGCATGTTATTTGGGTTCAGATATAGCTGTCTGACAGATCTGAATAAATCAGTGGAGGCTGTCAGAATTCGAGAACTATATGAGACTGTTGTCTTGTAGGCATCCATGTTTGTAATAGGTGAGCTTGCATCAGTTGTGAAGAGCAGCAAATGTTATGGGAGGGCTAGAGGTAACAGCACACACTGCGTAACCTAGATTTCTGTCCCATGGAGCTTTGCTTGGCAGCAAAATCAGTTCAAGAAGTTCTCCACAGTCATGTATTTCTACTGCTCTTCAGCACTCCACGATGATATGATCTCTGCTGTGTTTGAGAAAACACACTGTAAACAATCAGTGAAAAATAACCCTGAGAAAAGTATAATTTGTTTTTCAAAAAGCAGATCAAGAGGCAACTTGATAGTAGTGAAGAAGCCTCCTTGTGAGGAGAAAATATTGAGTCTTAAAAGTACTTTAGTGGAGAAAGACCCACTATAGATGGGAGCTGATTCCAAATTCAAAACTGAGCTCAACTTGTTAATGATGTTGGTGATTATGTATTTGAAAAAGTGCTGAGGCATGTGACAGATATTCTAGGTTTTGAAGTTTTCAAATAATAACTGAGTGCCTTTCCGGGAGGTTTGCTCTAACTTTATAGATGTATCCCAATCCAGTGTCGGGGGAGGTTTCAATACGAAGTAAATCTTATGCAGAAATAATTGTTGGAAGTTCTCTGGTTGGAAATATTGGAGAGAGCGATTACAGGATCTAATCGTCACTTCTAGCCTTAAAATGCATTAGTCTGCAAAGGGTGCTTAGTTTACTGGGCATATGCTCTTACTGAGTGTGTTTCTGATATATTCAAAAAGTGTCAGGCATAACTCCCTAGTATGTCTATCGTATGTAGTCTGGATTGTTTGAAATGGTGCTGCATGCTGAATTCTTTGTTTTGGAAAATATGTTTTTTGTCTATTTATCTTCTCTCTCTCTTTTTTTTTTTTTTTTTTTTTTTTTTTTTTTTTTTTTTTTAATTGCTAAGCAGATTAACTCCAGGCTTGACTGCATAAATAAATTAGGAGTTAATGGTTTCATTTTGGATAGAGTCAATAGCTAGCTAGGAACAGGATGACTGTGTTTTTGTGTTTTTTCCGAGTTCAGGCAGTTACCCGATGAGTGGAACGAAATAAAATGTATCTCTTTAGCATTTTGATAGTGCCTCCAAGAGAAGTTTCTTTGGTATCTGTACAACAGAGATGAAAATTTCACTTAGAGGCCTGGAAGCCAGGCATCCGTTAGAACACTGGTGAATGTGAGAGATTTAAACTTCTTTAAAAGATACACTTTTTTAAAAAGTGATTTGTTACCTTCACATTACAGCAGAAATTTTAGATACTGAGGTAAATAAGAACACAGCTCTGAAGTTTTTCATTAGACTGTATTTCAGTAAGGATCATCCGAGTGTAGTAGAAGTGTATCTTCCAATACAATTTGAACAGAAGGGAAATTATTCATATGAGCAAATTACTGATGAAATTTTGCAAAGAAGCAGGATATCAGCAAAGACGCTGGTACATTAAGAGTACATCTAGAACATGCGACTGTGGAGTTGGTGCTTTTATGGTGGTAAGAGATAAACAGAATGAAAGAATTTACAAAGATTTTTTTTTCTTTTTTTTTTAAGATTGATTAAAAACTAGCTTTTGAAAAATTGAGTTTGAGGGGGTATTAGATTTCTCCTAACCAGGAGCTTAAAGTGGGTCTGAAATAGCTATATTTCATATTTCTCCAAAAAAAATGAACGAGGCTTCAAAAAAATCTCCTTCCAAGTGCTTCATGTCACTGACCAGAGTTTTTGAGTAGTGATTGTGTACAGGGAAGGAAACCTCTAGCCAAGTCAGAAGATACTACAGGCTGGTCAAGGATGTGTCTAACAATATTAGGAGATCTGTGATGGAACAGGAGGCTCTAGCCTGAGGGAACAGAGCTAGCCTCTTCAGATAGTATTCTTTTGCTGCACAAATGCATTTCATGATGATTTTATATACAGAGATAGAATGAACATTTTCAGACTGACTAATTAGAAAACGTTATTGATGTCTTGTTTTCCTTTCAATATGAAGAGGTTGAAAATCTGGAGGGAAAAAAAAAGAAGATTATTCAATTCTTTTTATATTGTTTGTATTTACATTTGTGTTTGCATTTGTCCAACTGTACCACCAAGGAGGAACCTAGAAAAGGATAAACGTTTGTCTTGGACATATCTCAAGTCCTCCTTACCTGTGAATCAAAAGCTGCTAAAAGAAGCTTCCAGCCGAGCTTTATACGCTAAGTTTCTAGGCTTCAGCTCCACAGTGCCACTTAGGTCACCTTTAGCACCATAGCTCCACATATGTACAGAGAGAAGAGCTGTTGGAGGCTATCTAATAAACAGAATTCAGATTTCTTTTTTTTCAGCTTTTTCCATGCTGTTGAGATTTTTTTTTTAATTTTTTTTTTTAAATTTATTTTAGTAGCGTGTTTGATACTGACACTGTATTTGAATTGCATAGCTGTCTCCTGCATTTGACAGTAGTCAAGTACTGGCTGCTGCCAAGCAGGGTGGTAGCAAAG